TCGGCGGCGGAGGCAGAGCAGCCCCGCCCAACCTTTAGCCTGGGGCGGCGTCAGCGGGTAGCCGCGGAGCCTGTAGTTTGACGGCTGCACGCGCGGCGACGGCCACGAGTCGAAGTCGAGGTAGACTGGCACCTGGACGTGGCGTGAGAGGGGGTAGGGGGGGTAGGGGGGTTGGGGGGAGGCCGGGGGTGAAGCGGCGTGCCCGCGCCTTGTGTGGAATACCCCCCCCCCCCCTACACACACGGCTGCAACGTGGTGGGGGCGCAGCCGAGCACACTACCTCGTCTCGAGGTCTCGAGGTGAGAGGGTGGCCAGCAGAGGATGTGCCGCATCTAGATCCGGCCGGCACGTAGTTCTTGAAGACAGACGCCTCTGGCTGGCGCAGCTGGAACGAGAGGGCGGGTGGCGGCGGCGGCGGCGGCGCGGCGCCCGGCTTGAGGTTGGCGTCGAGGAAAGCCAGGACACGGCTCCAGAGCGGGGACGATGTTGCGACGGCGTCGGAGAAGCCCAACATGCCTGGCAGGTTCCAGTGAGATGACGGGTGAGGACATGACTGGACATGACTCAAGAAACCAAGCATGGCTGGCGGCAGAGAAAAGAGATGAAGGGTGAGAGGGGAGAGGGAGAGAGGGAGAGAGAGAGAGAGAGAGAGAGGGAGAGAGAGAGAGAGAGAGAGAGAGAGAGAGAGAGAGAGAGAGAGAGGGAGAGAGAGGGAGAGAGAGGGGGAGAGAGAGAGCCTGGCAGCTCTGCCATGGCGTGGATCCCCTCGTGGATCATCGTCTCGACGCGGCAGCCGGCGCCATGCAGCGCCTGCCGGTAGAGCAGCGCCGCGTCGGGCGCGAAGAGCCGGTCCTCCGCGTTGTTGGACAGGAGAACGGGCGTGGCGCGACCGCCGCCGCACAAGTCCTACAGGGACACGTCCAGGACACGTCCGAGGCGCGTCCACGGCACGTCCTCGCAGCCGCCCGCCCCCCGCGAGCAGCCGCCTGCAGGTGCGCTTCTGGCGAACGAGTGCGGCACCACCCCACAACCTCCTCGGAGCGGTTGCCTAAGGCCGAGAGGCGGCCGAGAGGTGGCCGAGATAGAGTGCGGCACCGCGCCCCCCCCCCCGCCCCTCTCCCCCGGCGTGCCGGCGAGGATGGCGCGGAAGTGTGGCGAGACGGAGTTGGAGAGCCGGCCCATCCCCACCCATGGAGAGCCACTCAGCTTGAGCACCTGCCAGATACAGCCGAGTTACAGCCGAGATACAGCCGAGACACAGCCGAGACACAGCCGAGGTCTAGCCGGGAGCTGCTTCGAGCTGTCCACACCTCGTACCAGAACAGGTTCGGCGCGCCTACAAGAGGCTTCCGAGAAGCTTCCGAGAAGGTTCCGAGCAGGTTCGCGGGGAGGGCGGCTTGCTGGCCAGGGCACAGGGCTAGGAAGGGTCTAGGAGAGGTCTAGGAGTGGTCTAGGAAGGGCACGGGGCTGCGGCGCGCCCTGCCCCGCGAGGGCGCGGTTGATGTTGCCCCACCCCGAGAGAGAGACCGCCGCCGTCACGCGGCTGTCGGCGGCGGCCGTGAGGACAGCAAGGCCTCCGCCATACGAGACGCCCGCCGTGGCGATGCGGGACGGGTCGGCGTGCCAGTCGGCGGCGCGCGTCTCGACCGTGTCGAGCACGCGGCGAGCGTCGTCCACCTCGACCCACGGCGCCCGCGTCGCTCACCTCCCGTGTATCTCCCCCTTCTCTCGGCTGCGTCTCGGCTATCTCTCGGCGGGGCCTCGAGCGGGCCCGCGGCGGTCACTTCCCCCTCCGACTCCCACCAGCCCCGCGCGACGTACATCAGCACGACGTACCCCGCCGCCGCCCACTCCTGCTGCTTGACGGCGTACTCCCACCAGTTCATCACCCACGAGTTGCAGAGGACGACGACTGGGAAGCGGCGTGTCGCCTCCGCCGCCCCAGCCTTGGGATACGCAACCACCGCCTTTAGCCGCGCGCCTAGGAGGCCAGACCGCGCTGCCGGACTGTCGGGCGTGTGCTGTCAGAGAGTATGAGACTGCGCGCCTAGGAGGCCAGACCGCGCTGCCGAACTGTCGGGCGTGTGCTGTCGGAGAGTATGAGACTGTCGGACCAGGGCTCTACAGGCCACTTTCTTCCGCGCGCCTCCCACCCCACTGATGGCCAGCTCCTCCCACTCGACCGACAACCCGCCCGGCTTCAGATCGCCGAGGCCGCCGGCCTGCGCGAGGCCGAGCAGCGACTCGGTGACGCGCGAGCTCGCAAACCGGCCCGCCTTTCCCACCTCGCCACCGAACCGCGTGCTCGCCTCGCCCACGCCGTCTGCCACCGACTGCCTCACGTGCTCGAGCGGCGCGGGAATCACCTCTGACGACGCCGGCAAGGAGAGGGAGCCCGCTTGCGCGCCGGCGGTGCCAATCTGGGAGTTGACAGCCTCCTCCGTCTCGTCCGCGGACACTTGAAAGTCGACGAGCTTCTGCTCGGCGGTCAGTGTTGCTGCCATTGTACTGTCGTCAAAGGCAGTCGCGAGAGAGTCGATGCCCTCGCTGCTGGGCCGCCGACCAACGAGTGTCAGCGCCGCAAAGAGCGTGGTAGCTACCAGCGTCAGAGGGATGGGCCAGCGCCGCGAGCGCGTACTGTGCGTGATCATCGCGAAGCGGGCGTATCAGTGCAGGAGGCGAAGAGGGACAGTAGGCGTGTGTTGGCTTAGCCTTAGGGACCAACGACAATTTTCTTTTTTGGGCGTTGGAGAAAGTAATCGGCAAGAACGCCGTTTGATGTGTGCGTGTTCGGTTTTCTTTCTCCTTTGGGAGCAGGATCTGATGCACCCTCTGTGGACCACTGTGCGGGTACTCTGAGCACTGAGGCACGAAACCCCATCGCCAACTATGTCCATGACGGTCAATCTGCCGGTGGATCTACAAAATCTCCGGCTGCCACAATCCAGAGGGAGGTGGCGGCGCCTTCGACCCCGGCGACGCCACCGGCGCCGGGCTCGGCTGGGCGTGCGGCTGCGCGAGCTGCGACTCGTCGAGCCCGACATCTTGCGGCCGCATCGGGGGAGAGGCCGCGCCCTCCTGGCCCTCTTGCAGCGTGCGAGGTCGCTTCACGCCGACGCGGGCCGTGAGCAGGTCAGCCTCCGCCTTGACCTTGACGCCGCTGACCTCCTCGGCACGCTGGCTGTCTTCCCACGTTGCGGAGCGAGCCCTCTCCTCGGGAGGCATGCCCCACGCCCTGCACTCCCCGTGGACGGGCGAGCCCTGGGGGAGCATTGGCGTGGGAATCCCGTACTGCACTGGGAACGATGGCGCGACGCACCCACCGCCGAGCGGGACAGGCCCCACGGGGGGGATGCCAACAGAGGGGGCGCATGCGCTTCCCGCACTGGTGGCCCGCATCCCATGCAGCGGCGACGGCATGTCGGCGTACACGCCTCGCTGTGCGCAGAACGCAGGCGCAGGCGCCATGAGCCAGGAGGGGGCAGTCCCGGGGCCAGCCTCGGCGGGGCCAGCCACCAGCCACGGCAGCAGGTGCGGCTCGCCCGCGACCGGCGCGACTTGGGGCGCCGGCACCAGCTGCGACGTCCAGAGGCCGAGTGTCTCAGCCGCCGACGGGGCGCCCGGTGCCAGATGCCAAGGCTGCGGTTGCTGCTGCTGCAGGGCCTGATGGTGCTGCTGCGCCGCCTGTAGCAAGGCCTGCTGCTGTTGTTGCGCCGCCTGATGCAGGGCCTGCTGATGCTGCTGGGCCGCCTGCTGCTGTAGCAAGGCGTGTTGCGGCTGCTGCTGCTGCTGCTGCAGCGCAGCCTGCAGCGCCTGCTGTTGCAGTGCTGCCTGCTGCAGCGCTACCTGCTGCAGGGCTTGCTGTTGAAGCGCCCTCTGCTGCTGCAGCCCCAACGCTATCGTCGGCGACTGTTGCGCAATTGCCATGTGCGATCGCAGCAGGGTGTCCGTCGCCCACGCCGCCTAAGTAGGTAGCAGCCTGAGCTTGGACGTCCGGGTTTGTGCTCGGGTGTACATGCACATCTCGGGCGCCTCGGCCGCCGCGTTGATCGGCATGTACTGAGTCGGAATCGGCGGCTGCACGGGCTGCGACGTGGGCGACTGCACGAGATGAGGAAAATCCGAGATGTGCTTAGGATGTAGCTGCCGCAGCTGCGGTGACGCCTGGAGGCGAGAGACGGCGCGCTTAGAATCCCCGCACCCTGCCCCGCGGCGCATTCACGGCTCCCCTTTCCTTGGCTGGCGGTTGCAGAGGCGCTGTCGAGCCCATCAAGTTTGGGTGGTCGCCCGCGTGCATGGGGTTGTCGAGTCCAGCCTGTGCCCTCGCGTCGGCGAAGTTGTTGGCCGCGGGAGGCGCTTTGGCCATGAAGTCGCGTCGAATCTCGAGCTGCCGGGCCTCGAGCTTTGCGAGCGACTCGAGTGTCTCAATGTTCTTGATCCACTTGCGCAGCTGCGTCTGAATACAAGCGAGGGGTGCGGTGAACAACGCGCAGGGGGTGGCACTGGTGCTGGTACTGGTGGCACTCTCGCCCGCTCTCGGGAGCCAGGGAGTTGCAGGCATGCATGGCGAGCTAGTTCGGGCGCGGGAAGGGGGGGCGC